TGTCCAGGGTATTCAAAATGCCCCAAATCGGACGGCGCCGTTTTCTAAAATCATAATACGTTGTCGAGCCTATCGTAATTTCAATGTACAGAATATGAATGAATTTGATTCTGATTAGGAATGTTTTGTGAAATGACAAAATTATTATAATTATCATCTAAAGGATGAGGATAATGCGAAAAAATCAAATTTTCCAAATTTACAGGTAAAATTCCATAAAAAATATCACGATGAATGCTGTTCCTGCAGTGGGGAAATGGAGAGAATGATCATTTGAAATTGAAAAACATATCATATACCAACTGAATATGTTACGATCATTTAGATTTACAAAATCCAATCTGCATTTCTTATATATTGCAAGTATATGCTACCATAAATATTTTAAAAACTATTCATATAGAGCACACTTTATCTTTTGGACGAGTTCGTGTTGAAAAACCACAAATTTTGTATTTTTGGTTTCCAATAAAAACTATAATTTTATTAATTTGATTGTAAGGTTTTTCTTTTGATGCCAACCTCAAAAATGAAGTTTTTTTAATATATATTTACAAGCGTACAAAAGCATTTTCCAGAAAAAAGTTATTCGTGATGGAATTCAAGCGTGATAGTGTGATTTTTTATATTTGGCTGTCTATCATTAGAGCTTTCCGGCATTTAAATGTGAACAAATCTTTTGTGGAAGAAAACAGCAACATCAGCAGATATGGTTCAAAAAGTAAAGTTCGACTTGATCGAAACCCGCTTCGCTGTGGCCGAAAAATGGCTCGTGATCTGAACATATCGCAACATTCCATTCGACAAATTTTGAAAAATGAGATCGGGGTAAAGCCATTGAAATTCCAAAAAGTGCAAGATCTTATACCGCAACAGAAAGAAAATAGTCTCAAAAGAGCTAAAGAGCTGCCTCGCTTGGCCGAAAGTGGTGAACTGCCGAATTTGGTTTTCTCCGATGAGGAAACATTCGTTGTCCAGCAGTTTGTAAACAAACAAAATGATCGTGTTTACTTGCCAAAGAGATCAGATGAAAATGTGGACCAATCTAATCGACCGTGGTTCCTCGCTTCATTTCCAGCGCCCAATGGCCACCAAAATCTCCGGATATCAATCCGTTGGACTATTCTGTCTGGAGTATTTTGAAAAGCAAGATTGGCACTAAATAATACCAAAGTGTCGATCAAGCAAGCGCTTCGCCGGGAATGGGCCAAAATACTGCAGAGCAACATTCAGGCAGCGTGTGACGGTTACATTGGCCGTTTGAAATTCGAACAAATCTAAACTTATTGTAAAATTTGATGCTATTTCCGACAGTTTTGCTTTCATTTAATAAAATTTAAAACAAAGTAAAAATTATGGCGTTTGACTTTGTATATAGCTATGTATATATTGCTCTCAATTACCTACAGCAGTGCTACTGTGGATGTACAATCTGCTGAGGTGACAGCTCTTGTGTAAGTAGGACTCGGATTGATCCAGATTGTAGATCGTGAGATTAGTTTGAGGTTGCCCAGATCCCGTCAACCCAACCTACAAATATCACAATGATATCAGCTCGTATTAAGCACTTAGAGTAATACCTTTTCCAGTGGATAAACGCCGAAAAGTAATAATAAAGTAGGAATATAAACATCTTGCACCAGATGTTGAATCGTATTACTTAAGCATTTTCATTTTATTTTCATGCATTATTATTTTTATTTGCAACTTAAAATTATGAAGTGTGAGTGTTTTGTTATTAATTAAAACAAAACAAAAAAGTTGAATTATCACGCATCGTTGCACATTATGAAAATGTAAAATACAAAATGTAAAAAATAAAATAAAAAACTATTATTTATCATTTTTTGCAGCGAGAGTATGTTATTTCCACATTTTTGGATTACCATTGATTTTACGTTAAGGAACAACGATTTTTAGTTTTAAATTATCTGTTATCAAACTCAATAAAATACGAAAATATGCAGAATATCTGTCCAACATGCGAAACAGGTCCTCATACGAGACTGCATTCACTAATTTATATCATAAATGCAATTTGTAGCACTAGGACCAATTTTATTTCAATCCAAGTTTTTATATATTTTATTAATAATATCCTGAAAATTGAGTAAATATTATGCTAAGATCTGATCCATAATAAAAGTTTCAAACATACCAAAAAAGCTTGAGAATAATGTTATAAAAATAATTTGTCATAACAAATTTTTAACAATGTTTGCGAAACACCTATGTTGCACAAACTTTTCTCAAGTCTGTTCTTTATTATATCCTTCACCATTCTATGGAGGGTATAATAGCTTTGTCATTCCGTTTGTAACTCCTTGAAATATTCATAATAGACCCTCTATGGTATGTATTATGAATCAGCGTAAAATTCTAAGACGACCTAGCGATGTCCGTCTGTCCGTTTGCCCGTCTGTCTGTCTGTCTGTTGTAATCACGCTATCTTTCGATCGAATTGAGATAGAATTTTGCATACATGCATAGTTTACCAGTAGGCAGGTAAGGTTCGTAAATGGGCCATGTCGGTCCACGATTTCGTATAGCCCCCATATAACGGTACCTCCCCATATTCGTTATTTTCATGATTTTAGCGACATTATTTACCGGAATTATTTAAAATTTCGTATTTGAAGTTCGTAATGGGTGCTACAACCTATGACAAACATTTTTGTATGCAGACCCACGTGTTCGTACTGTTTAAAATTTGGTATTTGATGTTCTAATGGGTACTACAAAATATGACAAAAAGGTTGACGTCTTCATATAGTCCCCATATAACGGTGTTCAATTAAGAGGTAGTTTTTAGATTTTTTTTTTTTGAAAATTTTCAAGTTCTTTCCAAATGGTGGAGGGTATTAAATGTTCGGACCGGCCGAACTTAGCTTCTTTTTTACTTGTTGCTATTTTTGTTTGATGTTATATGAAAATTTTCAGTTGGAAATGCTTCTCTTTTGGTAAAAAACAAAGTCACACGAATTCCGAACAGAATTTCCGAAACGAATTCTTGAGGTAATGATAAATGTATTGGGAATCTATGGTATGTATTATTATTTTATCACATATTTCAGACGAGATACATCAAAAATTTGCACTAATTCAGAGGATGTCTAATATTAGTGAAGGAGATGCGATGTATTAATGCAATAGGAGACAGTGACAACTGTAAACGGTCACCAATGAATGAAATGTATAAATTGAATACAAATTTCAAAAATAAACATTTTATATCATTACAAAAATAAGCTAAATATAGGATTACTTCGCAAGCTTATTCTACGACAAGAAGTATGAGCTTATAAATAAGAGTTCAATTTCGATTATTCCATATTTGTTACACAAATATTTTTTCAATATTTCCCAAGATTTTCTCCAGTTTTAGGCTTTTGTTCTTAAACTTATTATAATATTATTCTCAAGCCATTTTGTTATACTGGGTTGGTGAATTTTTAACTTTTAATTTAGAACGGTTACAAAAATTAATTAACGGTTACAAAAATTAATAAAATCCATTAAAAAAATTTCAATATGATTTTACAAAAATTGTAAGACTGTTGATGTAGCCGTTACATCTGGGCATTGGTGATGAAATCTTTATAATTTATATATCTATTTTTTATGAGTTGTCATAGAATATACTTTATTCATTAATCTATTGAAGACACAAGTGAATTTGTAGCCCACATTACTTGACATGAGTATTCAAATTTCTAAATAGTTTGTATTGCGTATTTTTTTTTCGGTATTTTTACAAATTAGGCCATATTTTCTATCGGATTTTTTTAACTCAGTAATTCGATTGTATTGGTTTTGGACCAAAATACCGCAGAGCAACATTCGGACATCGTGTGACGGTTTCATTGGCCGTTTGAAGGTCATAATTCGTGCCAAAGGTGACCAATTCGAACAAATCTAAACTTTTTCCAAAATGTGATGCTTATTCCGACATTTTTGCTTTCATTCAATAAAATTTAAAAAAAATCTAAAAATTATTGCGTTTGACTTTGTTGCAGTTTTTTATCTCACCCTGTATATAAGCACTAAAAAATGTAAAAAATTACAGATTCCAATTTTTTTCAAAAAGACGTTATAAGAGAAACTTATTTGCAATTTAGTTTGCTTAGCGTGCAATATCCTATTTCTCAATATTATACCTAGTTTGTATCCACGTTTTACTAGGTTACCTATCCCCACCACATCCAATCTATTATCATAATAGGTATCAACTGCGAATTTAGTTTGCTGTTACTTAATTATTCAAGCTCATTTCTTTGTCTTACTGCGTCCAGGTTGCCACCGTCAGACATACATCAGACAAATCCCAAAAAGATGTCCACAGAATTGTAAAAATGTCATATCACTGACCATAGACAACATTTAAATGAACGACCATATAGATATTCCTACGTATTTACATTAGAAAGCTTAGTTAAAATATTTCCACTTCAGAAATCATTGACCCCAACATATCATAATAGGTATTCAAAGTAAATATGTACGTTGGCCACATGCAACTGATAAGGCTTCTTGAGTTTAATTTACCCGTCGTCTTAGAACATACATACCTACTACATTAGATAAGAACGCAAGCAAATACTGCATGAACGAAGAACGTACAGCTTCAATTGTTTATTATCAGTGCACTACTGCTCCAGTGTCCAGCTGTGTTTTATTTATCAACCAGGGACATGTTACACTTGACTTTGTACGAAAGAACTCTGCATGGTCGTCATGCAGTACAATGACGGATGATTGATGTGCAACTTGATGCTGGCCTATGTCATCGAAATGACCAATACTTGAACAACACACTATCTCCAAAAATATCTCCCCTCGTATTTTTTTTTTTTTTTTTGGTACTCAATTTTTATACTTTTTTAAACACAAAAGCAATTACCTAGGGCAGTGATGAAATTGCGTTTTTAACATTTCATGCTACCAACACAAATAAACAATTAAAAATTTATAAATTTTAACTAGTCTATATAGAAACGAACCTACATGGAAGGGTATCGACTTCAGGATTTGTAGATGCAATTTATCCAGAAAGCAGTAGTTCCTTTGCTATTTTTCTTGATTGCTATGCCGCTGTCTGTAATACACTTAATTTACATTCACACATTCGCTTTAAATATTTTTTGTTTTTTGCAATTTTACTTTGGGATTATTCGTCTTTATACACCGTATTCGCATTCATATTAAGATCACTACTACTTGTTTTTGATTATGTATATTTGTTTTTTCGCGTTGTGATTTATTTTGCGTTGTATTAAAGCGAGTTCACTGCAATTCTCGAAAGCGATTCAAATTAAACTGAAAATGACCAACAATAAATAATAATCAGCAATCGACAAAAAAGAATTGACAAAAAAAGAAACAATAACAAAGGACAGCTGACGCATAACAATATAAGCAAAGAAAACAGTGTTGGTAAGTGATAAATTTAAAATACTCGTTTCGACAAAACGCTCCGTTTATTTTAAATAATTACTTAACATGCACTTAAGGTATTATCAGACGGAATGGAATTTACATACATATGTGCCATGGTAGAAGAATATAGGTAGACGTATCGACGCAGCTGCTGAGACAATGAAATGTCAAACCAATTTTGGAATTGAAAATGTTGAATGAAATTTTTTTTAAATTTGTAAAAATTGTTGAAAAAGGCATTTTATAATAACCTCCGAATGACATCGTATAAGAAAGCATATAAAAAGCTACTTATATCTGAAAATAAATTAAAAAAATTTTGACATATCAATGCTCCCAAGCGTTGATGCATCTACCTGTATTTTTCTGGTAGAAGAATACTGGTAGATGCATCAACGCGTGGGAACATTGATGTGTCAAAATTGTTTTAATGTTTCTTGAAAAATAAATAAATTTTTATAAGTTTTCTTATAGGACGTCATTCAGACGTTATTATAATAAGTGTTTTTTCAACAATTTTTACAAATTTAAATAATTTTCAGTCAACATTTTAAATTCCAAAATTAGTTTGACAGCTCATTGTCCCCGCAGCTGAGTCGATGCGCCTACCTATATTCTTCTACCATGGTTTCAATGTTCAATTAACTGTAAGTTCAATGAACTGTCAAACCAATTTTGGAATTGAAAATTCTAAATGAAAAATAATTGGAATTTGTAAAACTTATTAAAAAATGAGTAGCAGAAGAACCTCCGAATTGCGTCATATAAGAAAACATAAAAATATCTATTTATTTTTGACATCTGTTAAACATTTTGGCGTCTCAATGTTCTTAAGCGTTGTTGCATCTACCTTTTTCTTCTATCGTGAGTTTTTTTCGATATGATAATAAAAAAGTCGGTTATCGCAGTAATTTTATCGGAAAGATATAATTTAATGATAAGTTTTGCTTGTTGTGGGAAAATATATAAAATTAAATTTGCGGTCATCCAAAAGTAGTACGATAAAATCCCAATGTTATGAAATGAAAAAAGTTTATATGCTTTTTTGTGGATAGGATTATGAGTCATATGTAAAATGACAATTTTGGCATACACACGGAAATACGCATATATAATAAAAGTTAAAGCACATGTTTGATAGCAGCTTGGATAACTTTGCGAACTTTGGCAATGAAACAGGTTCTTTTTATAAGCGCAATAAGTTTATTGAAAAAGGTTATTATCGTTAAACTGGAGGCCAACAGGCATCTATAACTGCATTTTAGTGCATAAAAGATGCCTGGTGACCAAATGTATGATATGGATCATGATTTATTTGAAGAGGAGGGGGCTTCAACAACTAACCATGGTAGAAGAATACAGATGGATGCATCAGCGCTTGAGAACATTGATACGTCAACATTTTTAAAATGTTTTGTCAAAAATAAGTAGATTTTTATATGTTTTCTTATAGGACGCAAATCTTATTTGCATTTTTCAACAATTTTTATAAATTCCTATTATTTTGAATTTAATATTTTCAATACAAAATTCGATTACCAGTATTCTTCTACCATTCACCCATGGTAGAAGAATATAGGTAGACGCATCGACGCAGCTGCTGGGACAATGAACTGTCAAACCAATTTTGGAATAAAAAATGTTGAATGAAAAATTATTTAAATTTGTAAAAATTGTTGAAAAATGCATATCTTTACAACCCACGATTTGTGTCGTATAAGAAAACATATAAAAATCTACTTATATTTGAAAAGAAATTTAAAAATTTTTGACATATCAATGCTCCCAAGCGTTGATGCATCTACCATGCATTCACCTAACCAACAACAAGCAGCAAGCAACAAAAAATCAAATAGTTCATCAGCATATAAATTAAACACAAAGGACGGAAAACGTCAACGTTTAGAAAACTTAAATATCGATATTTCTGACTTGCCTGTAAAACTTTCCAAGCATAACCCTAATGATCCAAATAGATAAATAGATAGAATTTTTAATGTTTTAGCGGACGCCAATCATGAAGACACGCCTTCAGTTTAAATATCTAAAATTCCTGAAAATCAGAACACAACAAACAAGCCACAATACAAAATAAAATGGTGCCCTCCGACAATAATTTACAATGTGAACATAAGAACTTTAATTGATAAAATAAAGGTTACATTAAGATCACTTGTGGATAGACGTCAACAAGTAGATCTGTACAAAACTCTCAATAATAATAATGTAGTTATTGTATTCATCTGAATAAGAAACAAGTAAAAAAGCTGTAAGTTCGGCCGGGCCGAACTTTTAATACCCTCCACCATTTGGTACAAATTTGGCAATTTCCAAAAAAAAAAAAAAACCGTTAAAAATTCTGTTAAAATCTTAAAATACCGAATGCTTATACGACGACGTGGGCCTGCATAGGCAACTTTTGTCATAAATTATTACAATATTTAAATGCGAAACTTGAAGAAAAATCTGTTTATAATGTAGCTAAATCGTCAAAATACCGAACATGGGGGGTACCGTTATATGGGGGCTATACGAAGACGTGGACCTGCACAGACAATCCCTATAAATAATGTCGCTAAAATCATTAAAATACCGAATATCGGGGGTACCGTTATATGGGGGCTATATGAAGACGTGGACCTACATGTCTCATTTTTTGACTTTGGATGAAGTATTCATTACGAACTTCAAATACCAAATTTGAAATGATTCCGGTAAACAATGTCGCTAAAATCATCAAAATAGGGAATATCGGGGGGTACCGTTATATGGGGGCTATATGAAGACGTGGACCTGCACAGATAATTTTCTGCCTAAGGCTGTAGTAAAAAAATTTCCTTTGAAAGGAAATCCAGCAGCATTTAAAGAAGTGTCACGAATCACATGAAAAAACTTACCATATTATGAACGTTTACGACACAATGACAACATGTTGACAAATCCTAAAGCTGAACAATTCAAAAGGTACGACACGGCAGTTTCAGTCGCAAAGATCCAGTTGACGGTTTATATTTGAGGATATCATCGGTTATTAACCAAATCCCTCAACACATCTGTACGTTCAATAATGATTTTAATGCCCTAACTAATGCTGATAATATTCACTTTACTAGTTCTGAAAATATAAAATGCATAATTCAGAATATTGGTCAGAAGTCCTGCGGTTTAGACGGTATATCCAATTTTTTGATTAAGAAATTCTCAGAGAATGTAATCCCGTTTCTTACTATATTGTTCATTAACTGCATTAATAATGGTTACTTTCCCAACAGTGGAAAGAAGGCGAAAATAATTCCATACGAAAGAAACCTGATATCGAAGTTACATCTGATTTTCGTTCATTACCAATGCTCTCAAACATCGGAAAACTATTTGAACGTGTGCTGAAAGGAAAATAGAACATCAGTTCACAGTAAATCCTATATCAGTCTTCAATTTGGGTTCACACAATTCCACTCGACACAACATGCTCTTCTTAAATTCCAAAGTGATATAACAACGAATTTGAAAAAAAAAAAAACAAAACTTTACCATCGCTGTATCGTCAGAAATAGAAAACGCTTTTGACACGGTTAGTCATAGCGGGATTTTAAATAGGCTTGTGGAACTAGAAACTTACCCAAATATGGTAAATATAATGCAAAGTTGTTCAACAACGAGACATTTTGAAGTTCAAATTCAAAAGGTGCATTCGTTCAACAGTATATTAGAAAGCGGCGTTCCTCAAGATTGTGCGTTGGCACTCTTTTATTTACATATGGCGCATCAATATTAATGCTGCAAAGTCAGTTATGAAACAACACCAAATATCTGGGAATAAACTTTGACAAGTTGAGAAAATTTAAGAAACATGCGCGAACAACACTGCAATGGAATGAATTTGGGAATTAAAAAAAAAATAAAATCCGTTAAAAGTTCTGTTAAAATCTTAAAAATACCGAGTATAGCCGTTATATTGGGTTCTATACGACGTGGACTTATATAAGCATTGTTTGTCATAAGCCATTACCATATTCAAATTCGAAAATAAACGGTGAATAATGTAGCTAAAATCATCGAAATACCGTATATAGGGAGGTATCGTTTTATCGGAGTTATACGAAGACCTGGAACAGCATAGATAATTCTCTGTCGCAGGCTGTAGCATCTATTATGAACTTCAAATAAGACATCTCAAACAATTCGGGTGAGTATTGTACCTAAAATCGTCAACATACCGAATATAGGGAGGTACCGTTATATAGGGGCTATACGAAGACGTGGACCTGCACAGACAATTTTCTGTCTTAGGCTGTAGCATCCATTTGGAGGTTTAAAAACCAAATTTGAAACAATTCCGGTGAATAATGTCGCTAAAATCATCAAAATACCGAATATCGGGAGGTACCTACATGGCCTTCTATCTCAATTCGTTCGAAAGATAGCATGATTACAACAGAAAGACAGACAGACGCTGATCAAGAATATATATACTTTGTTGGGTCTGACATGAGTCGAGGAGTTACAAACGGAATTACAAAGTCAATATACCCTCCATAGTATGGTGGAGGGTATAAAAATGATATAAGACTTATTAGATGCATTTTTATTTCAAACTTAATTATAGTGTCATGGATAAAAAGCTACCTTGCATTTTTATTATACCATGGCGTTACCTAATTTCAACACAATTTGAAAATTTTCAAAAAATATATTTCTATTTAAAACGATACATAAAAATACAAAAACTGTGTATATCTGTAAGAATACAGGTAGGTGCACCAACACTTGGGAACATTGATATGTCAACAATTTTTAAATGTTTCTTCAAAAGTAAGTAGATTTGTATATGACGCCCATCGCTACAATTTTTACAAATTTGAATAATTTTTCATTCA